ATAAATTATTAATAATAAATTACATAAAAAGCAACTCAAATATAATAAATAAATTTTTAATAATAAATTACATTAAAAAATAACACAATAATTTATTCTTCTTTCATGAGTTTAAGAACCCGAGAATTTCATTATCGATTAAACGATAAATTTAAATGAAACTATTAACTTCTAATCACTTTTGGAATGTAATCATGACTCGTCTGCTTCATATCGAACGAGTAGTTAACTCATCTGTCGGTAGCAAACGAAAATCTCACGAAAGCGTAAGGACTTTGTCAGGACTTTGCTCTCATCTATTCGAGTTCTTCCTCGATGGCCGTTCGAGCTCACTCAGGGCGACAAAGTTTAAATTGTTTTCAAAACAAGCGGCTGTGCAAATTCCATTGTCGACGATTGCCAGGACAAATATTTGACATCGCTACATTTACATGAACAAACTTACCTCGTAATTTTAATCACTCTTCATTTTCACTATCATCTTAATCAAATACAATAGCTTCAATTTTAATATATAATCTAATTTTTCAATTGCAAATAAAAGTTTTTTTTTTTACTCTTCGTATATTTCCAAGCCCTGTGGTTTTTTCGAAAAATATTCTTCGCTTCTCGTCAAAGGATTATGGCGAAGTATCGAGAAACTAAAATAAATTCGCGAAAGTTTGAAAATTGTACTTTGCGCGCACATTCTGTGGCGAACCGAAGCCGAGATACATCGATATCCCCGATATCCATTATATCCGATCGAAGGCAAATACAATATTTGCGGACAGATAACCAAGTTGTAAAAGTTGATAGTTTAACTTATCATATCATTAAACTCTTATTAACAAACTTTCGTTTCGTATGATGTAGGCAAATTTCTTGCTCTTGCTTTATCAGCTTTCACACTCGTCCTACTTAATTAACCTTTGGTTAATTATAGCATAAAAGCCGTAAACCTCTAAATGCCGTTGTGTAGAGGCAATCAATTCTCGGAATTGTCTGCGAAATCGCGCAGGGGACGGCCATTCCAATTTTCAGAGTATCGAAATGGCCGTGGATCCGATCTCGACCACGTATATATACCCCCGAAATAATGAGAACGACGGAATAAACACATCTGGCCGCGCTATCAATACGTATCGCGGTATCGTATCCGGCAAAGAGGCGGTTTCCATCGCGCCTCTCGCCAGGTATACATACAAGGTGTCCGATAATTTTTAACATTCCCAAAATGTGAAGGTAGGTTCCCGAAGTGTGAAGGTAGATTAGCTCAAATTAAGAAGGAAAATCCTCTACCTTTTGCGATTTTCGCAATAATTAATGAGAAATTAATTAACGCAGGCCGATCTTTTTAAATTGATTTCTCATTAATTATTGCGAAAGTTGCAAACGGTAGAGAATTTTCCTTTTTAATTTGAGTCAATCTACCTTCACACTTCGGGAATACTAAAAATTGTCAAGCACCCTGTATATACATACGTCGCGGAAAAAATAAGCGATGAGATAAATCATTCGCGCGCGTGAGCGAATAGATACAGAGGGCACGTCCGTCTCTCCCCCTCGCGGGGGAATTTATTGCCCGATATTTTTCTTCCTCCACGCGCGCAAAATTTACGTGTCGCGTCTCCTCCCTATCGAGCCATAGAAACGGGATTTTTCTCAAGTCAGTTTGGCCGCGAAACAAATTTCGCAGGAATCTGTCCTAGGAAGAATTCGTGGCATCGTTTGCGCAAGAGAAATATCGTGCTAATTTTATTTTCCGTTCGATTAACTTGTATCAAGTAATTTGAACTCGAGATTTAAGTGTGGCACGCAAAATTATTATTCCAGATCATGTATAATGTATCGAATTGAATCTGATTAATTTTATACAGATTATATTAATTAAATTATATTATAATTAAATTTATATCTCTCAAATTATCTAAAGTAACACGATGTAATATGCCTCATATTTATTTAAATTAATATCAAATATACTTAAATAGATCTTGTGAACAGATCTTTGTAATTAAAATTCACAAAAATTTACTAAAATATTACAATTAATAATATACCAGCTAATACATCAATAATACACCAATTTTTGATTAATTGAAATATATTCTAGTTAGAGGAAATCAATTTTTTGAAAGTAATGAAGAGAACGTTTTTCCCCGGACTTCGGTGAAAGACGCTTCACATAACTATAATCAACGCAAAAGTAATATTTTTTTTATATTATATAAAATTCAACAAAAATTTATATTTTAATTCACACAACACAATAAAAATATTGATTAAATATTTATAAAAATCTTTCTCTATTTCTTTCAAAAAAACATATTGACACCATTTATAATGCCTTAATCTATTATAGCAATATTTTTTTACCCTTGTAATTTTTCTTTCATACATTTTGCCCATACTCTGCCAAAAGTGATGAAAAAATGTTATAATAGGGTTAGGGAATATTAATCTTAACGTAGAAGGAGAAGATTTGCATTAATCTTAAATAAAAATACATCCTCGAATAGAAACAATTGTATTTGTACACTGTTACTTGTTATATTGTACAGTTAAACCTTCAAAAATACAATAAAAACATAATAAACATAATAAGAATTACTTTTATGCAATAAAAAAAATGATTAAAAAATACTACCAAATTGTAAAAGTTTTTTTCTCTTAAAAATTATTTTATAATGTTTTTAATGTAAAACCACATTCAAAGGAGTTCTGTGCAATTTCCCGATTAATTGTACGCTGTCAACTATCGACTTCCGTCTCAATAATACTTATTGGTAGCTCATTATGTCTGAAGAATGAGTCATTTTTCCCCTGCCGGAGGGTATTATACGAGGGTTTTTTTATCCTATTGATGTGTACAATGATTTTGGAAAAATTAGGGGGAGTGGAGCGAATGGTGTGTAGTCGGGTTAAGGATTTGGTAGATTGGCGTATCGAATTCCGAGCGAGCGAATTTCGCAGAAAATTGGAAAAGTTGCCTCTTTATTGAGTCGGTTCTAGCACAGGGCGCTCTCCTTCTCTCTCTCTCTCTCTCTCTCTCTCTCTCTCTCTCTCTCTCTCTCTCTCTCTCTCTCTCTCTCCCCGTCTCTCTTTCCCGATCAGTATACGGCAAAAATATTTTATTGGAAATAGGAAAACACTATGCGAGGCAAAAAGGTCCCCGAAATGCGAGGCGGCCGCCTGATCCGTTCTCTCGCGGTTTCGGATATAATGGCATCGCCGCGCGAGCGGATTGATCTCGTTTTATTTCTTGCTTCTCGGACCACTTTTGCGGTATAGCTTATGCGACTACGTCCGGTCGGGAAACCACGGATTGTAACGCTTTATGTCGTTGTGGCGACGTAACGGACCGATAAAGAAATAACATTGTAAAAGGGGTGGGGGAGGGGGAACGTAATCTTCTTTTTTACGTTTACGCGACCTTCCTGTTTACAGCTTTGTGGAAGACGTTTGATATAAAATCCTGTCATTTTCATATAGCTACTTGGTTTTACGATACGGAATAAAAATAAGATTTATCCAAGTCCCCTCGTCTTCCCCGACTAACTGACATTTTTATTGTACAATCTCAATTTAGATAAAAAATAATTATACTGGATATATGACGCACAAATGAATACAAACAATCTTAGTATCTTGTGAATTTGATTAGAAGCTTGATCCAACATGGTGGTGAGCGACGTTACGAAACATCAACCTCGATAAACTCTCAAGTTCGTAAAGTTCTAACGAGGTTCCACGGTGGTTCACCTCTCAAGAGGTCCAAAAGAGTCTTGTTCCTCTCAGACCGCGTTAGAAACTATTGAAGTTCTTACGAAAGACTCACCGCGAATTTGTGGTGAATACTTAAAATACTTTATTATCCTTATCAATTATGCCTCCCCTTCGCTTTTTCTTCTTTTTAAAAGGCACTCATCGAAACTTTTATCCGTCGAGTTCGTGAACAAGAAGATAATTAAACCAGGCTTGTGTAAATTCATCGAATAGGAATATAAATGACAAAACATTGAAAAAATTAAATATATTTTTTTTTATTATTTATTTTAAATAATAAATAATAAAAAATTATTTAAATAATAAAAAATTTTTTATATTATGATATAACTAGAATACAATTTTTGTATAAAAAAGTAAGTAAATTTTGATGCTATTATATTATTAAAAACTAATCCTGTAAAAAATTGGATACATTTCAAGTAAATTTATACATTAAATATTTCAAAGCTACTGCAGAAAAATTGATTAAATAAATCTAAAATTAGTGCCATAATTTCGATGGACAGGCGAGCTAATTTAATCGAATAGGAGCACGAATGAATCTTCCTTTTCATGTATAGCATCTCATCTGGAATCGGCACTTAGCGCCGCGCACTGTCCTCGTAAATTCTCGATTTTACGAGCATTATACTCGGCAGGCAAAAAAGTCCGATCGCGATCCTGGCGCGAGAAAGCGCAGTAAAACTATTCTCGCTCGCGTCATGAAACTCCGACCGAGTTACTTCGTGATACGCGCCCGGTGGAGCTATTACTCGCGCGAGCGGAATAAAAGCGGCGCCCGGAGTTTTCGCGTTTACGAGGCGCGATTAAACGCGTTTTATAGATCTCATCGATTCCCGAATCCTGGATTGCGATTCGCGCGGGATTAATCGGTTCGCGAGTCGAGAAACCAGCTGCGAATTGACGATGTTTGGTCGCCCGTCGCCAATTGTTTTCGTCGACGCAGTGAACGGATAGATAGAGAGAAAAAGAGAAAGAGAAAATTGGAAAAATGAATTTTTACAAAATCTCACGATATTTGCTCTCCACTCTTCGGTCTCACATTTGATATTCGAATTATTCTTGCGAGGTACGCTTTTCGCGGATTGTGTTGACGATTTGAACGCTTAATTTAATTAATATTTAATCTCTTATTTAATTTTTTATTTAATTCAGTAGTTTAATTTAATTTAATTTATTATTTCATTTATTTATTAATTTAATTTATTATAATTTATTATGTGTTGCAGGTGCCGTGCACGGTATTAGATGTTACAGATGCGGACAGTACAACGAGGGAGTCGGCAGCATTACACCGTGCATTAATTACACCGCACAGATGCTGAGGGAATGTTCAAGCACGGAAGAATGGTGCATCGTAAGTACAAATTATTATTATTTATTAATTTTTTTTTCATTCGATCCTTCATTCAAATTACCAAACGATGAGAGACGCGTCAATCATCTCCCCTCTTCGGCGGAAAAATTATTACCCAGAAACAAATGTGAAAAATATACGCCTTATATGATGAAAAATTTTTCGAGAACGCAACCGGAAATGCGAGGACGAGGTTTGTCCCGAGCGTCTCGTAAAAAGATAAATATTTCTTTCGCGTCGATGCGGCGCCAAGGATCGCTTGACACTCTTCCAAAGTCGGCTATAACGAACGACGTTATTTACCTCTCGCCGATGCCGGATTTATGAGACGAGTCCGTGCAAAATTGGCTCCGGAGAGTCAAGCAAAGCGCAAGCTTGCACGTCCGTTCGTCGGCTTCGACGGCTTCTCCTCGACTAAACGCGAAGATTTTCTTCCGCGTCGAAGGGATTACGCAAATTTGGAGAAATAAGGAGAGCGAGAGCATCTCCGAAGTGGGATCGTAAATATTCTGGCAACAATGCTGCCCGGATTAATTTGAAACTTTCGATTAGAAGAAATACTTAATGAATATCCGAGTTTGAAATTTCTCTCCTACTTTTCACCTCCATGTTTAATCTAACGTCTACTTTGATATTTTAAGCAGTCAGATCATCTTATTTTGAAACTTATTTAATCTACAGTCTCGCCGAAAGCTCTTTTTTCTCTTTAAATCCCCAAGTGAAAAACTATTTGTTTACTGCTATTTGAAGTACAAAGTAGAAGCTCAATACAGAACAGAATTCCTGTATAGGATACAACGGTGTACCCTTTACATTTGCTTAAATTAATATGAAATACATAAATACAATTATTGTTAATCGAAGTTTACAAAGATTTACTAATATTATAATTAATAATTGCATTAATTTTTGGTTAATTGAAATATTCTAATTATGGGTCAATTTTTTGTAAATACTAAAAAGAATATTTATTCCAGAATTTTGGTGAAAAAACTTGGTGAAACTTCTCAGATATAATTACAATCAACAAAGACAACTTTTTTAAATTATGAAATTTCGACGAAATATATAAATTTGTATTTTAAATTATTAGAAATATTGATTGAATATTTTAAGCACTGATTTTTCCTTAATTCTCTATTTCTTAAAAAAAACATTGATTTTTATTTAACGTCTTGATTTTAGCCATCACTTCTAGCAATGCATTTTCCTTGACGTTTTACTTATAATCTATCAGAAAAAACGATTAAAAAAATATTATAATAGAGCAAAAGCATTACCTCTATAATGGAGCATTTTTGCATTTTTAAATTTACATTTACATTTACATTTACATCCTGATATATGTTAAATTGAAAAAAATTTGTATACAGCTGTTACCGATTATATTTTATAAATTTTATAATTATTTATCTCCTTATTTTTAGTAAAAATACACATAATATGACAATTACATTTAAAGAAAAAAATAATTAAAAATATTTAACAAATTTTGCAATTTTTTTCCTTAAAAATTATTGATTTTGTAATTTTTTTCAATATAAAATCGCGCTCAGAGTTTCAATTTTATGTTATTTTCTTGATTATTGTCATCTATCGACTTTTGTTTTCATAACATGAAATGATAAACTCATTATGTCTAAATAATGAGTTGAGAATTTTCCCTATCGGAGCGAATTACATCTCTAAATAAAATTTATCAAAATCCTTCAAAATCCATAAATGTGGAAAAATAGAAAATAGAAATAAAATCTCGTCTCGGGTAAATCGCTATACTATTTGTTTGCTCAGATTTTGGAATATACCCTCAATCCGAAAATTTATTTTATAATTCTAATCTACAGAAATGTAATTTTGTTTCACGATATGAGATGACTTTACATAAATGATCCGCGTATGATCGATTTCTGGATTCTGTACATATTGCAAGTGTTTTCGTTTATGCTTCTCTTAGCACAGGGAAATAATTAATGGAATCGCCAGGTCTACGAGGACGCATCTATCTTTATTCGATTCAATCAAGCCTTTCCTTATCTCACATAATGCATAATAAGCATTCAATTATTTAATTAATTTCTCTATCATATAATGAAAACACCAACATTAGCTTAAGAAAGATTATTTAATTATATATAATTATATTGATATTATATATTTAATTATTGATATATATATATATATATATATATATATTTTTTTTTTTAATAAATATAAGAGAGGAAAAAAATATATACAGAGCGTTTTTTAATAAGTGCAAACAATTTTACGAAATGATTCTTGGCCGAAAATTAAGGGGAGTTTTTCATATAAACATACTCTTACATTCCTCCTTGTGAAGTTATACTCCTCCAAAAATGGGGATAAAAATTAGATTTTTATTTTTTTTCCAAATTTGGAACAACTTAAAGAAATGAAATTAAATGGATATTTTCTACTAGTAGAAAGGTTATTTATTCATATATTTTTCAGCCTCTCGTACTGTTATAAGCGGATGAAACTAGCAACCCTTATTCAATTTTTTATTAAAACTTTTTAATGTTATATTTTATTAAAACTTTTTAATGTTTATATGAATTCCCCCCTCAATTTTCGACAAAGAATCATCTCCTAAAATTTTTCGCACTTATTAAGAAACACCCTGTATATAATGCATCGAAATATAAATTACAACTAAATAAAAATTAATTAATTTTAATATATATATATATATATATATATATATATATATGTATATATTTAGAATAAATATGAGAGAAAATGTACGATGCATCGAGATATAAATTCACAACTGAGTGAAAATGATATAAATTGGAGTGTATCCTGGAAAACGATGATAACAAATATCACTTCGCGGCTTGAATAAGAAAATGAACGTGAGCATTTGGAATGCAAATGAAATGTCTGCGCATAATAAAATCTCCTGAAATCTCTCTGAATTTGCACGGTCTCGAATGTTCCGCGGAATCGGAAAGTACAGGGTGAAGTGGTAAAGGTCGGATGATGGCCCGCCCGCGGCATGACAATGGCAAACTTTAGTCTCGCCGCCGAAACGAAACCTCACGGGGAGACTCCCTCGCGAGTCTACAAATCTCCGAGTTTCTTAACGTCTTAATAAAACGATACGATGTAATCAACGATGGAGATCCTTTCTATTTAATTAAACGAGTTCGATGAGATCGCCTCCCTCTCTTCTTTGCGGTTTCTCTCCACCCATCCTTGTTATCCGTTGCCTCCCGATTCATCCCCTTCCCCTTCCTTACGTCCTCGGCAGTCGATTATAGTGGGCAAACATTAACCGGCGGTCCCGCAGCATCCGGCCGATTATTTTCCGGCGTATCGAATTCGGAAGATGAGGGCTAGCTCGAGGGAAGAGGATGAAAAGGGAGGAACAAGAAGCGATCGTCTATAATTAAATGCTGCTCGTGCACGCGATAGCGGTTTCCAAGTCTCCTCGACCTCGAGGGTAACCGGCAATTCTCTATCGGAGATGCGGGGGCGAAGCCGGGTTCGATGCCTTCCGGGCCTCGAGGTACATTTACTACAAGCACTGCATTATTACGCACGCGTCACTCCCTTCTTCCCCCATTCCCCTGCTTTCTCACGTCCCCGTTGTACCGGGACGGGCATTCCGATTTGGCCTTCAAATTAGTGCCAATTGCATGTATCACGATGTATTAATTAACATTTAGCACAGCGTTATCAGCTGTGACAGGCCACCGGTCGTACGCGTCTCCGGGGAACATCCTGTCTCTGTCTCTCGCTCTCCTGCTGGCTCTCTCTCTCTCTCTCTCTCTCTCTCTCTCTCTCTCTCTCTCTCTCTCGCTATCGCAGATCAGTATAAGTGTTAGCATCAGCGACTCGAATTGGTACAATGACTATAAAATTTTTCCACGTTTTTTGAATTCGATCCAATTCTATGATTTATGAAAAACCGATCGCCATCCTTCCATTAATAAGCACTAGATAATTTCGAGTTGGATAAAAACGAAAATATATTTGTGTGAAATAAAATTCGATCCACGTAACAGAAATCCTTTTCGGAAGATTAGAATAAAGCTTTTCTATGATTATAAAATATACTATCTCAAGAATTTTTTTGACGATATTGGGAAAAGAACGCAGATTTTATTTATTCAACGAATTTTTACCTAAAATTAGAATATAATGCGCACTCATGTGTTAGATGTATTCATAAAACATCTGGTAACTAGAGAGCTTTGGAATATCGGTTTAAAATTTTCATCAATATTTAATATTTTTGTTCTTTCTAACTTATTCTAAAATTCATGAAAAAAAAGTCAGAATGTAAAAAAAATTCTATTCATTCAATTATGAAAGAAATAATGAAAGCAAATTATATATTGTTTAAAAAAAAATATTAATATATTTTTCTTTCATATAATAAACATATTATTTTTCTTATAAAAATCTATTTGTCTATGTTGGAATTTTTTAAAATAAATGATAAAATTTTTAAAATATTTAATAATTATTATATTTGTTATTATATTATACTATAACGTATAGGAAAAAAAATTGAAAGAAGCTAAAAAAATTAAATGTTAAAATCTTGAATTGCATAAAAACGGAGGTACATTTGTGAAATAAAATTCAATTCATACATAATTTTTGTTAGAAAATAGAAGCTTTCCTATGTAATTATAAAATATCTCTCAAGATTTCTCAAATATTTCAAAAATGCTTTAATCTAGAAAGATTTCCTTTTTTTCGATAGTCTCATCTAAAATTACAGAACATAATACATTCATTATGTTAGATATGTTTATAGAACATTTGGTAGCCAAAGTTATTTTCAATAGGATGAATTTAAAATTTTCGGATGGATTTAATATTCGATATATTTATTATTCGATATTTATTATTACTTCGTCTCTCTAATTTAATCCTAAAAATGATCTTGAAAAATCAGAAAATTTGAAAAAAAAGAAAAGCTATTAATTGTTACCTCTAATTAACTCTCCCCGGTTTACTGAGACGCG